GGAGCGCCTCCGGCACTACCCCAGGCGGGCACGGAGCGGGAGACATCAAAAAGCGCCCGTCAGAGGCAAAGGGTTTGAAAGTGACATCATGTTTATTTCTTCTCCGCTCACACGCGAACATGGCAGACGGATGCTAAGCTCTCCCCCTCAACGCCCCACAGTCGCTTCACAAGTCACACCCGGCTCCAGCGCAGTCCTGCGGGCTCTGGGGCACGGTCACCAAGGGAGAGTACTGCTCAGGTCTGAGAAACTGTTTCCTCACGCATGACAAAATGCTCACTGCGAGGCAACAACTGAACTCAAAGCAGCGTTAAAAAGATACATCTAAAGGAGGTAGCACGCAAATTATTTCTAGGAGATACCCATAACAGTAATGCTGGGATAGATAAGGCAAAAGCAAATAAAGAAGGCATCCAACACATAACCTAGTTTTTGTGCTGGGCTTCAGTTACTTATTTATAAAGTTTATCTTCTCAGGTCCATGGAAGTACAAATACAGAAAGGAAAAAAAAACAAAAAAAAACAGCATTCCAGGATGGACATTTCATATGGGACATGAAGCACTCAGAGCTGTTGTGTTCACATCCCTGCTCTTTTACCCCTACCAGGAAAGGCACATGGGCGCCTGGAACTCCCTCATTCACTGCCCCAGCCTTGCCGTCGGCTGCAGGGGATGGATGGCCCAGCTGCTGTACACAGGGATGGAGGCACCAGGCAATTCCCAACATGCACAGTGAGAGCCCGGATCATGCACGAGGAGAAGAGCTTTCTATTAACATTGATCAGTTTGTATGCTAACATTCAGAACTTTAAACTAGTAGTTTCCAGAAAGTACTGGATTAAAAACAGCCCTATGTTTGCCTACTATTGCCATGTAAAAAGTAGAAGTAAAACAAGTATCTTATCTGTTGACTTGGGGGAAAAAAAATATAAAAATCCAAGCCTGCACAGAGCTGTTAGAAAGCTTCAAAGACTGAAATTTGACTGAAGCAGTAATATGAAGAATGGTATATATGTTATAAGTGCAAAAAGATCCTTTCTGATTATATTAAGCTCTCCTAAATGCAGTAGGTTAATGTAGTGTTTACACAGTAAAACAATTAGATTTTCTGAACTTTTCCACACTGCTCAGAGATGTCACCCATATGTTCAACTCAAACAGAGAAACTTTAAATATGCTAGTAAAAATAGCTTTTTTTATAAACCACAAGTAAGCAGAAGGCAAATATACCAGAGTATGCATAGCTTTCAAAATGTAAATATCTCACGAACAATACAGTATCCTTCCTCATTTATCTGATATAATGCATCTCATTTACCTTAACAAGTCAAGATTTTGGGACAACATTGTTACTTTGGAAACAGTGAAGAACATAAATGGGAGAATGAAATTTAGAGGACAAAAATAAGTCATAAATCATGTGTATTTAGAACTTACATGACACCATTCTCTGAACTTCCCTGAAAACAATAGTGCAATTCAGTGTATCTACTGAATTAAATCAAGAGGTGGTGTACTTCTATTTCTTTGAAAAAATACTGTTCTAAAAATATTCAGATGTCCTCTAAACTTCGACTTATTTTATGGAACTATAGCTTTAAATTTAATTTTCATATGCAAAATATTTACACTTCATAAACTTTCAGAATTTCTAATAAACTATATTATATAATTACACAGAACTTAATTTATATATATAATCCTACTATATCTTGCAGATCAAAACTCACCACATATACAATAATTTACAATGACAGAAGCCTCAAGCATCAAAATATTTCCTTTAAAAGAACAATATTAGAGTCCCCTACAAATGGGAATTGCAGTATTTCCTGGATTGCCTGAATATCATTAAACTTCTGAGAATATGCAAAATACTAATTAAATATCAAGCAGCAAGGTTTGTGCTGTTATAAGAAAAGTTTGGAACTACTTAAAAAATACCTGTAAGGAACATATTAAAGGTTTACAAGAAGCCTCTGAAATGAAGGCTTGAAACTAGAATTTACTGGAAGGTTCAATGTATATATGCAAATCTTGTACACTGAAGTCCCTTAAATACTTAATATATTTGTTGAGCAAAAGTTAAATTAAACAGGAAGCTATAAATGTACAAGTTTTCAATAGCATTTATGATGGAAAATTTTTGCCTACTTTGGTATAAAAGCTCCTTTAAACAGGCACATTTACTTTTAGAAGACAAATACAAGCATTTATACTATGGCTATTGCTGGATACTTAAGCAAGGTCTCTGTGGGTCTGTTTTTAATAATATAAACCTTCTTTAGGACCATTTTACTCTGTATTAATCCAAAGAGCCAATATTGCCACCAGTGACAATTTGTAATACACTTTAGTACTGAATAGTTAGCCAAAACAGGACTTCTCAGAATCCAGTACAATTGCAATTTGTAAATTGATTATTTTTATAAAAAATAGATTTTTTTTCTTCTATTTTACTATCTACTGAACTATCTGAACTTCTTAATTAGAAGTATTTCGGTGAAATCCCTTCCACAGTTTTGTTTATTTCAAAAAAGGAAAATTTGCAATTCTCAGGTAACCAGAAAATTTCAACACTTCTCTCCGAAATCTTACAATATAATTTATTTTTCTCTCATGAACTCCACAAAGGTATTCCTAAAAGGAATACACAATACCTAATTTCACATAACGTGGATATTCCTGTTGCCATTAACATGTTTATTCATAACATGTAAGATTGAGCACGAATTTCCTTACATGACCTACAGTGTAATAAATGAAAGCATTCTTAATGAAAACAATCAAATTCACTTCAATTGTACCAGACTTTCCAAGATAACTCTTGAAGCCCTCCATAACTAGAAGCTGATTAATAACGTTCCCAGTCCACAGGTTCTGAAAGGCACGTAACTGAAGCTGGTTTTGTTTGCTTTGAAGTTGTCCTCAAACAAAGACAGCCTAAAATACTTTGTGTTAGGAGAGTCTAATGTAAGGCATTAAAATCTTCCTCTTTATGCTAGAGATCTATGTTAAGCACCGCTTGCTGTGACAGCACAGGACGCAGCCAACATTTCCTTCAAAAATGTGTTTGTACTTGGGACATCATTTGTGAGGGAGATGACGTAGAGGCTGATGAATTGGATATCTTAGAATTATTTGTGATCTGTAGTTCTTCAAGTCTCCTTATATAATCATCACGTAACGCAAGAAGCTCCATGTATCGCTGCTCCATTGGATTTGGCTGCTAGAAAGAAATCTCTATTAGTCTTATCACTTCAGTCCCACCACTTCTATGCAATTAGGCTGCTGTAATATTTGTGTTTTCCTGGCATTACTCCATATTTGTAGTTTCCAACATATGTAACATGTTGTAGCTGAACAGAAACGTTTATATCTGTAATGCAAGAGCCCTCTGCCTTTCACTTGTTCTCAACCAAAGACAATTTTTACACAAAAGTTCCTCCCCACTTCAATAAAACAGGCCAGCACTTCCTGGAGCATATGGATTTTCTCAGTATCTAATACTGTGAGGAAGATAGGTGTGAATATCTTGTCAAAAGTTTTCTCTTCTTGACTTATTAAAAGGCTTTAGATTCCAAAAATTAGATGTCTCACCATCTTCCTTAAAAACGGTGTTTAGCCAGACTATTTTAGCTACACTGATCAGATTAAGATGGAATCCTTATCTTCAGATTAAATAAACTTCCCTTGCTGATGAAATTTCCTTCAGTTTTTAATAGTAAATTTGCAACTTTGTGTAAATAAAGAAGTGAAATAAATGCAAAAAATAATGAATTCTGTAAGCAAGCTTGAATGTGTTTAAAATCAACTGCCCCAGCTTTCAGGAGATTACTCACTAAAAGAGCATCTTAACTGCTTCCTTTTTCAGATAATGAAACAAATGGAAAATGCAGATACAGAGCTGAAAGTTCTCCTCAGCTGTATATACCTGTCAAGAAGTTGCTGCTGTTTCACAGTTAACTGCCTGTAATTAAAAGCTACTAGCAGCACAGTTCCAGGAGCAAATGTAAATGCCTCACCAGTTCAAGACAGGCTGAAGCAGTACTCTGACACGCACCACTCACTATAAAGCCCTGACAGAAACGGCAGCTGTGGAAGTTGGATCGATGACTGAATGTAGTTACTAAGATGATTAGAGATGTAGGGTTAATGATGTGGCTAGAGGCAGATCAAACTCTTCATCAGGCTTAAGTCTGAAAGTCTGATGCAGAACATGCTTCTAAGTAATGGCACTAAGAAAGTTGATCAAAAAAACTTGATTCAGGCCACATGTGTACTATTAGTTGCTTAAGTCAAGATGAAGCATAAGTTTCATGTGCAGAAAAAAAAAAAAACACCACAAAAAAAACAACAAGCAAACAAAAAAAACAAAACTCAAAACAATTGCATTTTGTATATAACGTGGTGAAAATGTGGGACCAGTAGTAGCAGCATAGGAGATTATCCCACGGGTTTGCACTTCTAATAACAAATTCCTGCCAGAAACCTTTCCTGAATAACGACAATGTGCATTTTTAAGTAGACTGAAAGCTAATTTGCTTGCCCTATAACCCTTCACTTTCTAAAATAAATCTTTGGATTCACCTTCTGCAAAATGCCCTCATCTTTCACAGCAACAAAAGCTTTAAAATTAGAACTTCAAATTAAAGCTGGTAACATATTTGTAAGAAAATACAGCAAACTGTCTGCCTTTCTTGCAGCCTCCTGGCGTAAATAATGCAGATCAGCTGCAGAAAAGGAAGTGCATTGCTTGAAAACTCCTGATTCATTCCAGAGGCTGCATTGTGAAGACTGCTTCTGTCAAAGAAATTGCTTCTCTATTTTCTCCTACTCAAAACTCCACAACTTGTTAAGAAAGACAAATAAGTCTATGAACACTATCTTTATGTGCCACATTGCTGAAATTTCTAGCAAGTTAGTAACAAACATCCAGTATCAGTATAGTAAACACTAAAAGCACAGAACTGAACTGTGTAATTTGATAAAAGCTTTCCTGGGCTTCTGATCTGATCCACTTGTATAATTTTCAATAGCAGCTTTCATCTAACTGTTACACAGCATAAACAATGTTGGGTCAAAGTTACGTAAAAAATATCTTGCCATAAGCCATCAATACCGGTAACAGTTTAGAAAGAGAAACGACAAAATAGGTCATCTTAGTTTGTAGAAGACTTCATAGGCTCTCTGAGAAAAAAGGAGAAAGATTTAAGCAAATGCAACTACATGTGTTTGTGATGCTAATGCCCAACTGTTCAGAGATCAGTAAGCCCTATTTCTAAGGGTTGTCATTCACCCTTTAGTAGCACCAAATGCCCTTAAAAAATGCTTCCCCAGTCCTGTCCTCAAGAAAAGGAGCTAAAAGGAGCTTCAGAATGACTTGTGAAATAAGCCCAGTGTTCTGAGAAGAGCTGAGTAAAAAAACAACCCCCCCCCAAAAAATAACCCAAAAAACACACAAAAAAACCCCAAAAAACAAACGCAGAAGAAAATAGAACCCAATAATAATTTTCAGCTTTTCTTCCATCTTTAAAAAATATAATAAAACCCTGAACAGATTACAGGACTATTCTACAGGTCAGTTATGACACAAAACCCTATTTCCAAAGTCTAAAAGTATTTTGTACATTGTAGAGAATTTACTTACTTGTTGCCGAATCCTTGGGTTCCACCTGATGTAGTAATTGACCCAGAGCTCTAAGTGGCGCATACTGGCTACTGGATAGAGCGCTCGATTTAGCTCTTTAGTATAGAAAGGATTAGTGTACTTAGATTTTTCACTGTTTATCAAAGACCATAATGACAAGGTCTTCTCAGTCACTTTCTAAAATGAAATTGAAATAAAACAGTAAATATTTGCACAAATCCATGGTTACATTCTAAAATTAATACAGTTCTGATTTACTTAGAAGCCTAAGTTACTGTAAGTTACTATACTAATAAGTTACTGTATTAGAAACATTCCAAGCCCAGTGTTTGAGAAGTCTTTGTGACCACATGGTATTTAAGTTACCAAACCCAAAGAATTTACCATGTAACTATTCTATACTGAGAATAAAGCCAGTTCAAAAGCACTGTCATACAAGGAACGCAACCAAATACAACACAAGCAAAACTTTCTGTGGTCATAACTAACATGGCTTTTTAGTTAGAAAAAGACTAACCTCTTTTTCTCTAGAAGACTCACTGTTATACAAGAAAGTACCAAACCGGCAGCTGTACAAGTGATCCAGGATTGTAATCAAGAACTGCTCATTGAATTCAAAGGCTGTAGGAAACTAAAACCAGAAAAGACAAATTTGTTCTTTACATTGTAAAAGCAGGGAGGATGCACATGCCTTGGTTAAGACGCTAAAGGTGGCATTTAGAAGCCTGAATACATCTACAAATACTTTTTAAGACAGTATTTTCATATGCTTTATAGCAGAGTAAGTGTTCAGATGACACGAGGAGTTCAACTTTCTCAAACTAGTCACTGAAAAGAACTCCTCAAAACATTCTAACTCCCTTTAATTTCTAAAAAGAATAAAAACCAGAATGGTTACAATTGCATTTTTACTACCATGAAAGAATAAGATATGCATAGTGCACCAATCAGGAAAATAAGGATTATTTCTAATTCTTGACCTAAGCAGACTAAATTTGCTGTTTTGTTTCACTACTTATTGAAAATGCAATGTTTAAATCACAGCACTCAAGACCTCCCAAGCTTTAACAAAAGCACATTTGTTCTTGTGTTCCAAGGGACAGCTTTACAAAAACGGTAAAGTGAAACAACAGACCCTACTGAGATAGCTGGATGCAATTCTGGTAAAAGCATTTTGCTGGGTCTCATCTCTCCATGTGTTTCTGAGAAGCCCAGATCCAAGACGCAGCAGCCTTCCATGCATAGCCAACATAACCACAGCTTGTACACCACTTTTGGAAATAGGTTAGAGAGATGGTATGGTTTAAAAGTAAAAACACACTTTTTGACTACAGCATCAGAGTAGAGGGGTATGCTGTCCTCTGCAAATACTTTTGTTTAAACAAAAATATAGGTTTTTAATTCAGTAATCTCTTAATGATGCTACCTTCTGAAGAACAACAACACACCTGTTTAGACACCTGCCACACACAGTCAATGAACTGGAGAAAGATGGGCGATCTGTCTGCATCAGCATGATTTTTGTCACCGTGGCCTATTCTCTGAAATGAAGCAATAGAGCCTCCTGTTAACCAAAACAGTCTATTTCATGGCCAACAGACATTATTTCTTATTTTGCAGTAGAATATTAATGCTTCTGTAATAGAGCAACTTGTTCTCATGATTTCAAAATTAGTCACTGCACCAAGAAGAGATTCAGATATACAGAAATATTGCAAAACTTTTCCAAAGTTGCCTGAGAAACATTCCAAAGGGATAATTGGTTCCATTACAAAAACCTTGTAGTTACTGGACAAGCATAACTGTTACAGCATCCATGACTTTCCAAGTAAACAAGCCTTGTTTCAAACTATATTTATGTAGTAAGTTTGTCAAAAGCTAAGTTATATACTTTGTCTTCTTTTGTAAGTTACCGGAGAACCTAGATCAAACTATCCACACAGATTCTTCTCTTCCCCCACCACACTTGAACCTAAAGATTCACCCTGAGGCAGGACATGAAAGAGCTCAAATGTTCATTCATGGTCTTGACAAAGAAATAAAGCAACATTTTCAAAGCTTGGGTGAGCCACTTATTGTGAGGACTCCAAAGTAATAAAGGAATTCTCCAAATCATAAAACCAATACACTACTCTGTACGATGACTTGCAAGATAGTTTATAATAATAGAACTGAACCGCAGAAAATAGAGGGAGATGAAGGATTGATAATAGCTGAACTCAGTCAGCAATAGCAAATGACTAGAAAAGCACCATAGGAAAAAACAAACAAATTGGCCTCTCTCCTCTCCAGTTTTCCTGGTTTAAAAATCCATGGTATCTGTTAACAGTCATACATGTGTTCAGTAAGGACTGAAAAGTCCTTCCACTTCCACTACAGTTAGCAGTTTCAGGATGTCTGCGTATTCTCCATCTATAATGTCTGTCTCATATTTCTTATACTAGAATGCATTACAAGAACAACCTTCCACATAGCAAGTAATTCTATCATCTGGATAGTGCATTAAGCTCACTGTGCATAGAAAAGCTGGGGTAGGGAATTCCTTTTCAACAAGGAAACTTATTGTGCACTTCATTAGATAGAAAATACAGAGAGGAACTATTAGAAAGTCTACTGTTTAGTTGTTATGTTCATGAAAACATGACCTTGCTCTAACCCAGGCAATATAAGAAACACCTACTCTTCTCCAACTCCCCAGTTGAGGGAAGGCGTAACAACAGTTCCAGAGATGAGGTTCAGAAGTGCCAGCTGCACTGAAGTGCCTAGTCCTCACTATTACAACTCACAGCTCTATCAAATGATTACCAAACTAAACTACTACATGTATGATCACAATACTTTCTGCTTCCATTGTCAGTTTTTATCAAGTAATTGTTTAGATTGGAAAAGACAATTAAGATCATTGAGTCCAACCATTAACCCAGCACTGCCAAGTCCACCACTAAACCATGTCACTAAGTGACACATCTACACACCTTTTAAATACTTCCAGGGACGGTGACTCCACCACTTCTACAGAAACTCCAGAGAAGGACTGCTTTCACTATATGCCAAACAACCCATCAAATCAAAATCTACAGTACTCCTAGAAAACAGGAGATGGCTAAGGGAGAGTACCTTCAACCATTTCCAAGATAATTACTCAAGTGAGCAAATCAGGAAAATGAAACAGCAGTTTAAGCAAAGGCAAGCTATTTAAATCACCCTTATTGCTGCTACATTGTCAGAGATGAACCAGTGGACTGCACTAGTCATCTGGAAAGAGTTTAAAAGTCCTGCCTCACTAACAGGAAGAAAACATTATTTGCTTAGAGATAACAAGCTCCTTTGATTACTCAAACTAAAATTAATGGTTTAATGAAAAGAACCATAGGTTATTTGAATTTATTCATAATGGACACACATGTCTTTTTAAGCTTTGTATTAAACCTCAACACATGCTCTAGGTTGCAAATCTCCCAGTTATAAAAGCTGATTTTATCTGTATCATGACTATAACACTTTTTAAAAATACAAAAAAGAGAATAAAAAGTCAAGCCAGTGTATTGTACGAAGACACAATACTTCAAAGGTTCATGTTACACATCACTACTTGAAGACTACAGGTAAGCACACAAAAAGAAATAGACTACAGCAGGTATCACTCCCAACAATCAAAATGCAAATCTCCTAAGCCTCAAAGCACCTTTAGAGTGTCAGATCAAAGCTTGCCACAGCCTACAAGCACACTTAAGAGGTGAAATGATTCATGCTGACTAGCTATACATGAATTTCCAAATGACTGGGACGCTCTTGCAAACGTAAAGTGGGCATGAAATACATACGTAGGCATATTTGTCCATTTCTTCATTTTTCCAGATTGCCAATTTTCCCCATTTTAGCAATATGAAGTAATATCTTTAGTATATTCCACTAGGGACAAGCTGCAAATAACTTCTACTGAAGGTGTGGAAACAACTTCGTGTTAATTACAAGGTTCAGCATCAACAAGGAACAGTCTTGTAAAGCTCCCAACTTAGGTTTTGTGTTTACATATCCCAGCACGCTCTCCCTGGCAACCTGTTCTGCTTCTCCATAGATTTCCTCTCCATAGATGTTCTTCACATAGATTTCCTGGTTAAATGGTTAGCTGCCGAAATTAAGAGAAGTTCACTAAGTTTCCATTGGAAAGTTTTCTAACACAAACACCCATGACTTCATATTACACATGGGTAGGATATTAAGGACTTGCTAACGGACAATTTCTACTTAACCTTCCAAGCACTCAGAAGACAACTCAACAGAGCTACAGGCAGCATTACCAGTGACAGCCTCTTGAGAGCTATTATGACAAGTTTAGAGCATTTGGGAAGAAGTACTAAAAACATCACTTAAAAGACACTGGCCAGGTGCATCTGCCTCTCACAACATTCAAAATATTCCAAAGGGTGGGTGAGGGAGAAGCCTCATGTCCCAGCCTTATTTGATCTTCTTCTGAAAAGTTTAGGAAGATATAATTTTTGTGCCTTCTCATTTTCTTCGCTCAATAACCACAGTGACCATAGCAATTCTGTGCTTTTAAAAGGCTGTAAAGAACAAAATTTGAGCTCTCAGAGGAAGAACAGCAAAAAAATATTAATCAAACAGGTCTAAAAACAAAACCTCTGCTCAGATTTACCTGGAAATGGTTTAGATCTGAATTCTAAAGTAATGAAAAGTATTACCAAATGTTACCACAATGAGTAGTTTAACATTAAAAGCTTTTCAGAATGTGAATGTTGCATTCTTGGCAATTATCTTCTAATTCTTACCGATGCAAATTTGTGTCCAAAGCTTATCCACTCTTTCTGCACCAGAACTTCAAAGCCTTCAATTGTTCTGTAGTAGCTGTCAAGCATCAGCATGGCCAGTGATGTTAGCTGGGCTGTCCGGTCCCAGCCATCGCTGCAGTGAACCAACACAGAGCTCCTTCCAGAGGATACCTTGTCTGCCACTTGAATAGCTCCAGTCAAGACAAGCTGGCAAAGAGGAACAGACACCAAACACAGACCAGTATTATAGTTCTAACAAATAAACTGATTTCTTTGTATCTACGCAGTATCTTAATTGTTACTGTTTCAATTAAAAGACCTAAAGAGCATGCTATACTAACTGGAAGAGAATTTTCTAGGAGATCAAGTGAATTTCTTGTATAAAAATAGAGAAACAGATTGGTTCCCTAATCCCTTAGTAAGACCTAATTCATCTCACAGCAAATTCTTAATAAAAGGACAGAAAACAGTAACCTTGATAAACTGAAGAACATAAGCTGCTTTTTGAAGAAAGAGAGGATTTACCATAGGATATATTCTAAAAATTCTGGTTTTCATTTGTCTTCTTTCTTTTAACTAAATGACTGAGATGTCTTAGTTGTTGGAAAAAGGAACTTGTACCATTTTAATATGCTTATTTTCCAAATACTAACAAAATTAAAAATGTATTAAGTAGAATTCATGACATAATACTCAATTCTTTTGCAGAGCTGTACTTGAGGCAAAAGGTTCAAAGTTCAACTGGTAAGAACACTGGTGAATTACCAGTTTAAGTATTTTATTTGTGCTACAAGATGCAAATTACAAAGTTTATGTTTACAAGATTTATGTACAAAACCATAATTCACAAAATAGTCACATACATACTGACAACTAAAGTAATTACTAGTCCTTCACAATGACACTTACCTGTAAGTTCTGCTCTGCTAGAGACCAAAATAAATCAGTTCGCGCACACATAATACACAATCAGAATAACAATGCATTCCTCTATAAAGATTGACATTTGACTTGAAGCAGACAATAAACATTGAATTTTACCTACTGTTGCTTAGTAATGATATCTAAGATATCTAAGACTGGTTGGTAAAAAGCCAACACTCAGTGACACTGGTTTTGCTAAGTAGTTTGACGTGTTCCCTATTAGGACTACCTCAAAGTCTAGCAAAGAAAACAAGTCTGACACAACGGATTTAGACAAATGTTATTTCAAACAAACAGTAAAAAGTTACCTTTATATGTTCTAACCAATGGGTTGATTCCAGACTTGACAACCAGTGTGATTCTTCCACATTAGGATAAACAATGTCCTTCAACTTCTTTAAAGATTCCCGCATGACATGAATATTATGAATGTCCAAGAAGAAAAGTTCTGCATTGGGATATGCATCTTCACTTTCATATCCTCCCCCAGTTGCCTAAAAACAACATTTCTAAAATTAACTTTAGTATATATACACTCACGTAGCAACTTTTCCACAGAGCAAGAAGGGAATTTTATTTATACTTTATTTTGTAGTTGGGCAATATATAATTTCAGCTGCTTGTGTAAAACATCTGTTTCAGATACAAGCTTTGGAAGGGCACATTCTGGCAAAGAATACTTGGGGGCTTTCCTTTATCCAAAGGGACAAAATTTATTAAGTATAGCACATGGCCAGAAAGACACTGAAGCTGCTCCAGGTAGCCTTGTTCCTTACTTGACCAACTGACATTACAATGTCAGTACTTTTTTCTTCATTTATGTTCACTTCTCCCACCAAGGACTAAACAAACTCATGATTCTGAATACAAAAGAAATCAACTTACTTTCTAGACTGATTATTCAGGTTAAATTAAAATGTAAGGTATACCACACAAAACAACAATTACTCAACACATAAGAGATGATCACTTCCAGGGGATAAAATTGCTCATTTCTTTGTTTCTTAACAATTAGAAAAAGATTAAAAGGATTTGCCTGTTTCTTTACACCACTAATTAAAAAGAGGTCTCAGGTCTCCCCTGAGCCTCCTTTTCCTCCAAGCAGATCTCAGATTTACCAGTGCAAACCTGCTACCCAAAAAAAAAAAAAAATTCCTCCTTTCCTGTGTTTAAACTGCCTGGTTATTTGCTACTAAAATTGAACTGATACAGAAATAAATTAAAATGATAAGAATGTTTGGCCACATAAAATTAAATTGAAGTGTTCAGTTAAGAATAAGCTACATTTCATTTAAGAATTAAGTTCAAGAATCTTTGATTCTGCCTCTAAGAAGTAAATTCATAACAACATTAAAGTTTAATTTAAAGTTACTTTTCTAACATTAGATTTTATTGCTAAAGGCTAAACATGTATTTAGATGTTAAGAAACTAAAAAGCCACACAAGTAAAAGTCTGTTCTACTGCTGCTCTCTCAAAGCATTTAGTCACCACCACAGCAGAGGATGTGCCTGGTCACAGAAGGAAGCAGAAACTCCCACTTTTAGGACACGGTGCCACTGATGAGATTTCCCAAAATTAGGATCATAGAATAATTTAGATTGGAAAAGACCTTTAAGGTCATTGAGTCCAACTGTTAACCCAGTAATGCCAAGTCCACCACTAAACCATGTCACCAAGGGCCACATTTACACAGCTTTTACATCTCTCCGGAGATGGTGATTCAACCACTGCCCTGGGCAGCCTGTTCCAATGCCTGACAACCCTTTTGTGGAAGAAATTGTTCCTAATATCTAATCTAAACCTGCCCTGGTGCAGCTTGAGGCCATTTCCTCTTGTCCTATCACTTGTTACTTGGGAGAACAGATCAATCCCCACCTCACTCCATCCTACTTTCAGGCAGTTGTAGAAGGCAATGAGGTCTCCCCTGAGTCTCCTTTCCTCCAAGCTAAACAACCCAAGATCCCTCAGCCTCAGAGAGCTGCAAAATGACAGCATTTCCTGCAGATAGCAAAAACGTGCCATGCCATGAATTGCAATAAATAAATTTTGCCTTTATAAGCCATTATGCCACCAGCTATGCATCAGACAATAATCTGAAGTATGGTATAGCCTTTCCCCATTAGTACCACCTGCATTTCTGTATAGTAGCATAGTATCTCTATTCTATGCTATGTCCTTCCTCAGATGATGGGATATTCTCAGAGCTGCCAGGTCTTTCATGGCCTTGAGCCTCAGTATTTTATTATGTAAATATATATTTGATTATGTAAATTTATCTACATTAAGATTACTACTGTTCCCAAAAACCTCCTCACAGAAAACTTTGGTCAGTCTTCTCCCTACCTCCCTTCACAAATAAGACTATGAAGCATCCGTTTACCTTGTTTGCAACAGCATTGACATTTGGCCTAGCATCATAGATGGTCAGTTTTGAGATTTGCCCATTGGCCTCCCTGATGATATCAAGGTATCTTTCATCATCTTTATTCCGCTTGCCACTCATTCCAACAAGGGGTTGACTGCAGCGCATAATAACAGCTTGAGTCTCTGGATGAATCCATGACAGAACCTAGTCACATGTCAAAAACGCATTAGAAGAAATATGTTTTATTAAAAATTACTAACTTTAAAGCTTAACTTATTCTTTAAAATAGACAATATGAAAATTAACAGTTACTTTAGTTCTTCAAAAGATAATCCCCAGATATGTCAAACTGCTTCCACTTTAGTCTCATAAAATTTAATAATCTTTAAAAGAGTTAATTCTTTCACATATTTAACTCTTACTGGAATTATATTTACCTATGTAATCCAGTGTATGTTACTGTTTTCCTACAAGTCTTAGGTTACACAAATAATTCTGAAAAGCAAACTGGAAACAAACACAGCAATGTCTGCTGAAACTAAGAAACAATTCAGAAGAATGAACTCATTGTAGAAATTATCACTAAGATGCTCCAGTTCTACAAGAACGCTTTCCCTTTTTTTAGACAGAGAAATGAAGTTGAACCTTTCTGCAGTATCTTGAATGTTTAACCTTCTCTTTAAATCAAATTTTGTTCCTCAGCCCTCTTTACAAAGAGGAGGCTCTGGAGCAAAGCACATGCTGCCTGCCTTGTTCTTGTGAGCCAGGAGCCACTTACCAGAAACAAGAGATAGCGAGCTACCCTGGGAACAGATTGTGGTGCAAGAGATTAAAGATAAGGATGCCAAGAAGTAGGCAAAATCTCCAATTTCATTGTTGAAGAATATTAAGAAACAGTATTCCTACCCAGTCTGAAAGTTGTGGGTTACACAGTGAAAGAACGTTAAAGTTTAAAAATTAAAAAAAAAAATAAAAAAAAAAAATCAATCATTCGGAGGCATTCACTCCTGAAACACAGCCCTTAGTTGTATATCCAAACCTGAGACCTGTCAGTGTACGTGTGGGCGAGCATGACTGGTTATTTCCTGACAAGAATAAAATTACTATTACGAAGGAAATGACTCTCACTGTACAGGCACACAAAAGCCTTGTCATGAATTTTTACATGACTGAGAAGATACAGCCCAGTTATAAGAACTTGTATATATTATTATATATGCACACACACGTGCATATATAGTAAATGTATGATTATAGGCCTAGCTTGTCAGTGAATACAATTTCTAATAAATATTTATAATATTTTCTCATCTGTTTGAAATTAAGTGAGATTCAAGGCAGCTTTCTGATACTGGCTAAGAATCTAGCACCTCTTCCAAGTTTGCCAAACAGAAATATTAGTTAAAACAGACTGTATGATGACAGAAACGAGTATTTTCTGTAGTGCTGTAAAGAGCCGATACATAAAAATTCTCTCAATGCAAAGAATTTTAGTTACAGAAATATACCCAAAATGTCAAATGGGTTTATCTTAAATTGCACATCCCAGTTTAAAGGCCTAAAAAGCCCAAGAACTCACTTCAGAGACCATGCATGACATCTTATTTTAGGAGTGACCATTGGAACTATGTTTAAATACCATGTGGTTTGCTTACAGGAGGGTAACAGTCATGATCAGATTTTATGTGCATCCAGCAACAGTCAACGAACTAGTACAAATGGCAATCTGAGGCTCATACTTCATTAACAAAAGGGATTCTGCAATGCTAGCATAGAAAAGTCAAGTTAAAACCGACCAAGTTGGAATGGGTGATTGTTGTGGGGGGAAAGCAGAACTGTGGCTTGGCCAAGACACTAGTTTCAAGCAGCAAAAACCACCAGCCAATCAAAACTCTTTTGCTGTAACCATTTCCAAAAAAAGCATCCTGTTGTGTTCAGCAAAAAATTGTTTGGATGCATACTTAAAACTAGCTACACTGCAAGGGAGCTTTCATCTCATAATACTCACCGGGATTCTATTTCGAGACCTAAAGGCAGCAACTTTCTTGAGATCATCATCTGTTGCGTTATATGGCACTACCAAGAGTGATGGATATGTGTCACACAGCCCGTAATGTTCATTAATAAAACTTACTCGCCACCGATCATTAGGCAGTCCCTAAAACATAACACAAAGTTTTTTCAATGTACTTCTGGCTGTAGAAATAATAATTCTGCTCTTGAATTTTACATGACATTATGGCCACATGGTGGCAACAACCTACCAATTTAATCAAACTATAGCACTGTTTCAAAACAATAGAAGAAAAAAAAAAAGATTACAAAACCACACAAAACAGCTCATTGCTGATGGATTCACAGCTTTAAACAACTATCTCACATGCTCTTCATGCACAATTCTATTCTTATAACACACACAAATCTATTTTTGCAACGAGTTTCAAAGCAGTGATTAAAACTAGCAGAAGTATTTCTTCAACTGTGGGACTGAGGAAAGAAAATTGCCTTGTGTCCTCCCTCAGAGCTCTGCCTTTCCATTTTCCTTTGCTGAAAACAAACTATGGTCCAGAGAAGACAGGGGGAAGAAGTCTCATATCTCAACCCTTCTTCCCTGTAGCCTGATACTAGCTTTAGGTTAAAAATAAGATTCAGGGTAGTGTACTTATGGAGGAACAACAACTTCTAGCTGCAGTCTGCTCAGTAAGGCATTTCATAAACAGGAGCCAGGAAATTAAGGAAGACTGATAAACTGATAAGCCCTCCACACATGCACAGTGGGGTTCATGTGGGCGTTTGTATTTTACCTTTTTTGGGTCTTACACATCTAAACCTCAAACCAGAAAACTACAGAGGGAGAAAACCATCTAAGGTAGTCCTTAATGTTTGCTTAAAAAAAAAAAAAGTAATATTTAAAGCAAAAATAAATTCTCTAAATGACATTTTAAAATTAAATATATCATCCTCTTTCATTGACATTTTTCTGAAATCACCTAAAGAGCAAGGCAGAATACAGATAGATGAATAAATAACTTCTGTAAAGCAATGTTGTTTCTAAAATAATCTGCTCCCCACGCTCCCCCCTTCACTTCAGGAAGGGGCAGACTAAATCAAACCTATATTTAGGACACTGTAGTTACATATTTGGCACATTCTCCCTGTCCCCTGCTCATTTAACAGTGGCACATTGTAATAGGTATCAATAACTTCCTTCAAAATGCAAGGACTACCTTCCTGTGACATTCTAATTTTTCTTTTAAAGGTTCCAGTGTTTTATTTTTTTCTTTACTTTTTCTCAAAGTTATATTTCCATCTTCTCCCATTCTCAGCTCCTCCCACAAAAGAGCTCATAAGAGAAATGTAACAAACAATAATTCCTCTATGTCAGTTGTCAGATATGAAAGCACCAGGCAACAGCAACTTTAATAACTCACTTGTCTCCTGTATTCAGACATTGGTCTGTACACCATCCATCCATTTTCAGAAAACTTTTCTTCATTCACAAATGCAAAAAAAAGCTGTAGGATGTAAGGGAAACTTATTACACCAAACTCTGACCAAAAGTGGCAAATATGAAGGCTCATCATCATCATTAGGTATAACCTAACTTTTCTATGCCAGCCCCGTTCTCTCCATTTAAATCTGATATGTATAACACTATGAAGCAAAGAGCAAGAACAAACAATACAGATCTGCTAATGAAATAATGAAAATGTGAAAATAGCTGAAACAAGAAGTGACAATAGGTGCATCTGCAAATACTACGTAAAATATTAGACACTAAATTGAAAGCATAAAAATATTTTAATTTCTATTCACTTCCATTAGGAAGCAGTCTTCATTCTGCATCCTCTCCGCAATCAATCCTTACTAAGAGAAATCCAGTTTACTGTAAAATTCCATGAAAATTAAAAAGTTGCCATTGAAAATGATACAAAAATATGTTGTTAACAGGTTACGCTATTTACTTTTCTCTTGCTTTGTTGCTCACTCTCAAGACTCATTTATACAACGCAGCGCCCTCACCCAGGATTCCAAGAACTTCCTCATGCCTTTTAGCTTCCTTCTCCTTTCAACCAATTCCAAGTGGTCTCTATTACATAACTAACCCCTGTTTTTCCCTGTTTTATTTTTACAGTTTATGATGAAAGCAGAAATGTTTATTTAAGAATCTCCTCCGTTGAGAAAATGGATTTTGGTGGCTTACAAATTCTTCAGATGCCAGCTGGAGCATGAAACTAAGTTGTTAAAGAACACAGAAGACAATGTGTTGTCCTGAGCTAATTAAGCAACAGCAGCCAGAGCAGAGACCATTCCAGAGCCCGTCATAGCTTGTTTGTAACAAAAAAGCTGAAAGGCTCCTAGCTATTCAAAGACATTAAAAGAAGAAACTGAAAGGTAAACTTAACATCCCAAACATAGATTATTTTCAAAGGCAATCATTTTCTGCATTTCTGCTTTTCTGAACTAAGCAGAAATGCAGAAAACCTGACAAGCAAGAAAAATCCCCAAAATTGTGTTTCTAAGGTGCCATGGTTACATCTGCTGAGGTACAGCAATGCTTCCCAAGTGCACCACAGGCCCAGACAGCGGTTTCTTTAGAATTTACAAGGGCAGACCTTAAGGGCTCCAGGCAATTCTGTTTAGCCTAACATGTTACAGTGGTTTAAACAGTAAACAGCTCTAGTCAAAACACAAAACAATCCCTCCAGAAGGAGGGCTTTCTTCCCCTTACACATTTCAAATCAGCAAGTATTTTAACAGGATGTCACTGCTCACACAAGATACTTTATCCCACTAGTTTTAGAAACTGGATTTTTAAATTAAATCGGTATTTTAGAACAAGTACATTCACTGGCAAGTTTGCAGAAGTAAACAATGCATTCCAAAGTTGTGTTTTCTGACTGTCTTCACCATTTTTAAAGAGGTAGGCCTTCAGTGTAAGTAAACATTACTGATTCTTTTGCCTAAAAAACCCTACTATCAAGTGGGACGGAGGGAGAGATTATGAAAGGAAAAGGAAAGAGGTGGACATCAACTGTATCAGAAAAAAAGTATTCCATTAGAAGTACATGCAAGTATCAGAAGTTAAATTAAAAAAAAAAAAAACAAAACTGAAAAAGGTTGGTTGTTTTCATTGCAAACTAGGAATACAGCAAAATAGAAATACCACTATATACCACTATCTAAAGCAGTAGATGCAAGTGATTTGCTCAACTGTTAATAAACAGCTACACACAAAAACCATCCCCTCCTCCCCAAAGAAATTTGCCATATCCTGAAGAGCAACTATGCTAAGAACTCACCAAGGAACCAGAGACAAAGGAGAATCTTACAACAGTAGAAACCAGACATACTGGAATCCTAACAGATCATTTAAAAGATGTCTCAAAGGTGGGAATATGTTATTTAAGTTGCCACTTACTCAAGTTCCATATGAGAACTTAAAAACTACCCAGCTTAAGCAATGCAAATTTATTACAGTGTACTGTTTCATAGAAGATTTTACTGATAAAAATAAAGAGGGTGCTGCTCCAAACTAGAAAGAAATAAGTGGCAGCTATGCTGTTCATGTCACCCACAAAATAACCCACAAGAAAAGTGTATTTCATTTTCACCTTTTAAAAAGACAGTGATAAACTTACTAAGCATGAGGAGGGGATGAACAAAATTCTTTCTGACAGAATGATTTCCTACTATGTACAGCATGTTTCATTTAAAACGCTTTGCTACAGAGCTTTACCACATCTGCTACAAAAGCTTTAGTCACACAGCCCACAACTATTAAAGCTGACAATTAAGCTTCATCAGTTCTGTTGACATTCATGGTAGTGAATGTCTTCATTCTTCAAATTCTTCCTATATTGCTCAAGGGAAAAAAAAATAGTAAAAAAATCACTAGCAGTAGGAATCAACCCAGCAAAAATCTGAAGCCTAACGAGTAACAGGACACCACAATGAATGCAAAGGTGTATGGAGCAAAACTTGGGCTTAGATTTTTATACAAGCAATTCAGAGAAAACTCTTGAAGTATACTCCAACAAGAACAGTATTTAAAAGTGAACAGTATATAAAAACCTGAAGACTAAAAATCATTTTTCTAATGCAAGAGCTGACTAAATTGTAACAAAAATTTATATACACAGTTCTATGTGCACACTGTGTAGACTGTACAGTTAGTCTGGTTACTACTAGAAGTCTTACTCATTGTACAGAAGAGATTAAAGATCTCAATCCTGCCCCACCGTCCCCAATGGCCTTTCACTTAAGACTTGATATTTCAAATTTTGAAAATATTCTTTGAGGATGGTGGAGCTTTAGTCCAGGCTAAATACTAGAGTCTGAAACACAGCAACATCTCCTGCCTACCTTAGGCCTGTCTCTCACAACAAAATATGCAAAGCAATATACAAAGCAGTTTCAAACAGCAGAAATGCTTCCTTTCCCACTCTGACAGTCATAGCATGGTTCCATTCAACAATACACAGCTTAAAGCAGTTTCTCAACCTAAGATTTTCATACATTTATATCCACTTAAGCAGCTCAGTAGACGTAAGTAAAATTTGTATCCTTCTATGCATGCCAACATGATACAGTAGAAAAGTAAGAGTAGCAGAATGTGCATTTAAAACTCCACATACATTTATACTCATTTCACAATATAGTTCTAATTTCAAACCACAGTTTAACTTCAGTGTAACAAGCAACCCCATTTTAATACTGAGAAACAGACACTTTAGCAAACATAAGATATATGCTTGAATACAATTGTATTTTCTTACTTGTGTTGGTACAAGCCATACTTAGCACACATTTGTACATTATTTTTATTAGAAAAAATGTGATGTGAGCAATGTAAAGTAATTTCTATTGAATAACACTTATTTGTTGGAGTTTCTATTATTCTGATGACAAACCAAATTGATTTGTTCATTATACTGGGGTTTGTCAATGTGATAAATACATATTTAGATCCCAGAAGGGTTTATTATAGTTCAGGTAAGCTTCACATCTGCACTAATGACCCGCATATTTCCACTTTTGTCCTAAATAACCCAAGCTTACAGATTAAGCACAGTACGTTGGTACCTATATGTCCTGATTTAACTTAACACTGCGGAAGCTTTCACCTCACGGTGCACATAATCTGAATGCAATTCTACAGTGCAGCAGGCAAACGAGACAGAAAAAATATGGGAAGAAGAAACTACACCATTTACAATATACTGTTCTCATATCACTTGAGGCAAGATTTCAGGTGCTACCCTAGTAAAAATACATGGCATAGCTTTTTGTGCATACAGGTTCCTTTGTATTCATGCCCCTCACACAATTCTTATGTCAGCATGAAAACGGAGAAGTCACTTCACTGCCCACAGGCATTTCATATGGACCAGCTGGGTGTATTTACATCCTTCAGAGTGCAGAGAGCACAGGCAGGTCGAAGAAGCAAACTACATGACCAGCTGTAGGAATCACAGGGCTCCACAAAGCAGAAAAGCTCTGCCAGCCTCTCTCAATGCATCAGTGTGCACACAGGCAAGCCTTTCAAATGCTGGAGTATAATAAATAGTTGGCCAGTTCTGCTCCACGCCTCCACACATCTTTCCATCGCTCCACATCTATGGTATATTCCTCCTAAACTCTCCTTCTCTCCAAACACCACTTTAGGTACTCCGAGCCTCCAACCTAACCTCTAATAATTTCTTTCTTCCCTCCACACAAAAAATTCTATTCCCTCAGATTGTCACTAATCCTGCCTCTCCAATGAAAAGCACTTCACAGCTCCTATTGCACCCCACCTATTTTCCCAGGAATTAATTCAACTGCAGTTTCATTAGATGTGTCTAAATTAAAGAAGCATGGTTGGAAATTCAAAAAAATAAAGCCTGCACACAAGAGACATTCAGGTTCAGACTTCCATGTCTGACGGAGGGCCCAACAATTCCTATTAGTCTATCTAAAAATCAGTTCCAAATTCTTTCCAACTGTTGGGGGGGGGAGGGGAATACCAAGGAAAGCACTAAAGAGGTAAGAAAAAAAAAAAGTACAGTTAAAAAAAAAAAGTCTAGTAAATCACCACTCAGAAAACTTACAGGGTGCAACGCCTGTGATTTATCAGTACCTGTAGGTGGTTAAATCAAGTAAGACTCATCAGTTAAGATGTTTGCAAAAGCAAATTAAAGCCTCTTTGCATAGAATGGAAATAGGTCTAAAAGCAGAAGACTACTGCTTCACTTCCAGCAGAAGGCTACTACCTCACTACAGAAAAGGCTTTAAAATCTTGCGTACTTTTTGGTGAGCTATTTTTTATGCTTCACTGTGCAAACAAATCTGTTTAATTCCTTGCAATAATTTTGAAAATGCAGATGCTAACCTGCAATTTGAACACACAGTCTCTTTTTCAGTCTTCCTACAGATAAAGTACTTGCCTTCAACTTTCAATTTATCATTTTGCACAGAAAAATAGTATGTGATACACTGGTTTCTCACAACACAATGTAGTTCTGTGAGATGAAGGAGAGAGCAGCTGCAATCTGACACCACAGTTTGCCAAGCAGTCTGTTTACAAATGGTTACATATTTACTCTATTTATGGAATCACAGTAGATAAACACATGTGCTACTTGTACAGAAGCATATAACATATATACAATTTATTAAATACTTGCCCAATCCTTATGCATTACAAAAGAAGAAAGCAGCAGAACTAAAACAAGGTCTTACGCACATGCAAAAAAATGTTTTTTCTATTTCTAACTTACTGGTTGATGCTTTTCATATATTACAAATCACCAAGATTTTAACTCAGCAGAAAAGGCTGTCAGTTTCTCAGTGTGTTTAAAGATACCATTATCCTTGCCTTTAATATGCCATTACTAGAACTTAGGCAGTTGTTCATGTGAAAGCTAAGATTAGACATCGTAGTATTCATATAATTAACTTCTGATCATTTGTGAATATGGCAGCCTTACACCATTATTGCACTGAGATTGACAGAAGTCATTCAGAACGAAGCCCCGAGTCAAGATGCTTTTTGCAAAATCAAGTTCTCTATTGGATAGGCACTTATGCGAGACTTCACTGCCACTTAAGATCATCTTTATAGATCCAATGACAACACTGACATGATCTGACTCTCACACACTTTATCAGGATAACTAGCTACATTGGGAGCAGGAGAGGTCAAAGTCAGACAGCATGACTATCAGTGTGTCTCATCAAAACTGGCATTCCCACAGAGCTATCATGGTTAGAAATAATTACATATATCACACAGGTATGATGGTGGCAAATAATCTTATAAAAATGATCTGTAATTTCAAGATAAGATCAGGAAGTGAAGCAGCTGCTATACAGAGACTAAATATACCTCATCTTTGTGGGGTACTACAAACATTTGGGGGGGATTTTGTGTTACGTTGGTTTAAAAAAAAAAAAAACAAAAAACCAAACAACAAAAACCAAACAACTGAACCCCAAACTTTAAAAAAGAAACCATTCAGCAACTATTTTCTGTCAGTTAGTACAAGTCTGTAAATGCAATAAAGGATTATGCTGTTTGTTCCACATCAACTAAGCTGCCAGTCAGATTTTAACATCATGTTATTGATTCCAGGAGATCTGAACCTAAACTATGCTCAAATTGGAGAGAGAGAAAAGTTAGTTTCTGGAAGTAAGCACACAGGACAGTGCTGAGAAACTAATGAACAGTTGCAAACAGACCTATGATTTTTTTATGGGCTTTCAAACACTGCTGTTTATATAATGATGGAGAAAAATCTTGAAAACAGTATGTACACTCAGAAATAATGTTCTCGGCTGTGTTTACCATCTATTTGTCAGAGATCAGCATAACATGAAGAAAACAGAAGCAAGGCATCTCTACAGCTCTGGGGACATGCATAGTTCCACTACACATAAAAACCAGTCAGGTAAAAATCTGACATAAAATATAAAAAACACAGATAAAAATCAGGGCACTGAAGGTTTCGACCTTTATTGTCCTGATGATACTTTCTTTCCACCACAAAGCTGCACAAGCATCAGTGCTGCTGAACTAGCTGACATCAAGGATGCAGTTCCACAAGGTAGTCTGAGCAAAATTATCAGTTTAACACTGATAAAAATAGGACATCTCTCTCTTTTCTCTCCTGCCTGCTCCCTATTCCACCCACATGCCCTCTCTTGCACTGGTTCTGGTGCATACTCATTTCAAACCTGGTCTCCTCAAATTATTAGAAAGTGGCACAAGACTAACGCAGAAAACAGAATATTTTGTGCTTGGTAAGTGAGCTGCATTAGCTTACTTGGCGATTATATAACTATCAATTTGGTACAAGAGGAATAATCAAACACATGGCTGGAAGGTAGAGAGGAGGAGACCAGAAAAAAGCAAAAGCTGAGCATATAAGTAGCAGGAGGCTGTCATCTTCACCCAGCTGTCATGTGAAGCCACAGCATGTTCTTTATAAAAAGATTTCCCCAATCGAGCTGGCTGCATGGTCAGAGTGCTAGCCTATGTTCAAAGGAAAAGGCAGACATGCACAGCCCAGATATACTGTCACGTTAAGACAGTGAAACCTTTTGTAAACCAGCCACTGAAAGAGGCAGTCCCATCATTACTCTTCATTCACAACCAGCCACAGAAGCCTCAACTCCATCTCACACTGGGCTGACAAGACTGAGGAAATGACTCAGGGTAAAGCTTTTATTTTTATTTTTTTTTACCTTGTTTGGCTTTAGTCCCTTTAATTCCCTATTTGGTTCATCATGCAGCCTCAAACTCATGCAAGGAAAGCCAACGCAAGGATGAACAACCAGGCAGAAACACCCACCTTTGGCAGGATCAATTTAAACTGCTTGCTGCAATACAGTGAAAGCACACCAAAAATATCACACACTTGCTTAGCTCATTTTAAAGTTAAGGGCTTATTCACTTTGTGACATTAGAAAATCAGGGAAAGTGCAACTTCATGATATAGCATAGGCTTACTTCATTTCACTCCAAAGTAATCATAATTTCTAATGGTTATACCTTGCTCCAGACATAGCCAAGGGATATAAAGTACAGCCATTCTTCATATTGTCACCATCTTCCCCAGTTCTGTGCTTTGCTGAATCTGAAGGCAAAATTACCTCTTCCTTGACTGAGCATTTTGTTATTCAGCATAACTTTTATTGGCAAGTTACATTCAGAATGGGCCAGGCCATGTAACCAGTTGTACTATGTTCAACAGGTGCAACAATAAAGCTGGAAGTGCTCTACTACACACATTACTCATGAACATCACTAGACAGGAACACCAGGGTTGAGGTGATAAAACCTCATACAAGTCCACATCTCATCACCATGTTATTCAAGCCCTAGTTGGATTGGACACCACGAAAAAAAAACAAAACAAAAAAAAACAACCCACAAGGGACTTACCTAAGTCAGTTACAACTTAATTTGTCCATATGCACTACATGCAAATCCATACTGGTCCTCAATATAAGGAAAAAAAGAATTCTTCAACATGAGACCAAATATTGGATGAGATTATCCAGAGACGTGACAGAATCTGCCTCACAAGAAAAATTCAAGACTAGGCTTGACTGTGCCCTGGATACCCTAATCTAAGGCCCCACTTGCAACAGAAGCCTGGACCAGGTAATGTTCAGAAGCCCCTCTTGACACAAACTTCTCTATAATTTGTTTTTTCTACGTATAGCTTTCTCTTTTCCACCATACTTTCCAAGCCCATATATCCTGTTATGCTTTCAATCATTCTCTCATATTATAAGAGGCAAAAAATGCCAGCAGTAGTTAGTGATATATTTGTTTCTTGTACTCACAAAGAAGCCTGATGTAGAACACCTCACACCTACCCAAATGTAGAAATGTTTCATTTCTTGAGACCTATTCATTAACACTACAAAATATTCCCCAAAAAGCATTTATTTTTCCTTATGCTTTCATTCCAGATTGTTTGCATAAATAATGCAAAATTTCTGCAAAAAAGTTTTAAAGAATTAAATGTTTATAGAGTATAGCCCATTGATTGGTATGTATCTTCAGAGAAGGAAGTAAGATTCTTGCTGCAGCCTCAGACTCAACAATTCTCTGAACAAAGCTCTTAAAGATTCATAGCAGAACCCTCTAACATTTTGTGAACAGTTACTCAGTTATTCTAAATGAAACCATCCCAATAAAGTGTAAACTGAATTTTACAAAAGACAAAATGAAGAGTTTACTGAAGAGCTGTCGAAATTATCCACACCCAAACACAATACACAGATTTTGGCATAGAAACAGAAGATAATCGTTAGTTATAGTCATTCAATTCCTTCCATTGGATCATTTTTTAATCTGAAATAAATCTGTTTAAATTCATTACTGTATTAGCTGCCTGTTACATTTTTCATCAGTTTCATCAATAAAACAAGTGTTGTCTTAACATGTCTTCTTTTTCTGAAGTAAAACTCTTGGTTATTTATATTTACAATTGCTTTGGAAGATCCCCACTAATCAAACATTTTCAAGAAATCAAGGCATGTACTACTGTATTTCCTAATTAGGGAGGATAACTTGCAGTCTCTAAGCAATGAAATCTATATGGATCACAGGTGTTCAACAGTTTACCTGACATATAGCATATAACATGATTTTACAAATACATAGATCTAAGTGCTGTAAATGTATAAAAAACATTAAATTTCTTTTGTTCATGCTGACATCAGATTCTGTGGTTATTCTTTTTAAGCAGCCACGATGTCCATTGTCAAACAGTTAATTGGCAAGAACTCTGCATTAAGACAACTCAATAGTATAAATGATGTAACTTACCAAGTTATGTGACTGGGGAAAAGCATGTTTTGTGAGGACTTCAAATATATCTCTTCTACTGTGCCCTTCTTGTTTTAATGCAAACCGTAAATTTCTCATGTCCTAAAACAAAGGCATTATCTTCTAAGTGAACCAAAGCAGCAAGATAGTTTTAACTGACATACAAATGCTATATTATCCATTAAACATGATTTAGAATCTGCTTGCAACACACCTCAAACTATTGTGACTGTTCAGTTTTATTTCTTATCTCATAAAATAAAATAGAGCATAAGAATTCTACAAATAAGGTAATACCACACTGCGATGCAAACACTGTTTTGTCATAAAGCCATCAAAAATGACTGTATCTGATTCACTAAAAAGTCTCCTGAGCTAGTGAATATTTGCAGGATGGGAATTACTCTGTTTTCAAAATGAAAATTTGCCAATTACCTGTCTAGACTACATTGTCCCTAGCTATTTTCTCATCACTAACATCAAAAATAAGCAATCTGTGCATTAACTTAAGAATCAAATGTGTACACATACTCCATTAATGAGTCAAAGAATCCTGAATTATCCACTGAGAACTCTCCAGTGACCATATTTTTTCATGGCAACATAATTTTTTTGTGATACTAAGGAAGCAGACATAGCTGTTCCTAGGCTTTTCACTGCCTTTACACCTTACAAAACCCCCATCTGAAGTGTTCTCCAAAAAGATTTTAGGATTATTAAAAAAAAATACTTATAGCACAAATGAAATAATGAAACAATGCAGGAATATTGCCCCAGAATAATTTGCACATGACTACTGTGCAAAGCCTGTCATTAGTTAGCGATTCAGAAAGGAAGACCAATCCCTCTCCTCACACACAGAGAGGACAGACCTTTACACAACAGGTATTTCCCTGTTCAGTTCCAAAAACCTCTTTTTAAATTTAGCTGTGGGGAACTTGTGTATTTTTATTCCTATAAATAGGTAAGCAGTGAGAAAAGGAATCTCTAGATTTCAATGAATTATTGGAAGTCTTACTTTACAGGTTATATCTAATCCATAAGAGTTCTCTCCTCTGCTGGAAGCCCCTCCCATTTTTTCAATCCTTGAAATTACACCCAACGGAACGTTCAACACCACAACTGGATCCTGCAAGGAAAGTTCAAGTAAGGAAAAGATCAATCCAAAGACCAAAGCAAACTGTTCCTACGCATTCGAGAATAGAAAGCAGACATTAAATACATACAGGAAGCAAAAGTGTATTTCTGCGTTTGATTCGAGTCTCCCCTGCCAACATGTTACGAAGTCTGTACAGTCACTTCACATTTTGAACATCATCCAATTAAACATGCAACAAAAATACTTCCTGCCTAATACAGTATGCAGGTAACAAAAGTGGCAAAACTCTGAAAGATGTATTCTGCTACATACTTCTGAATGCCTCTGCTTGCTCAGACTGCTTTATTGATATACAGAATACAGTTAGAACAAAATGAAAAAGGTATTACTAGCAGAGTTAGCTATAACCAGAAAGACCTCAGTTCAATAGTCCTAAAACCTTATTTAAGAAAAATAAATTATGAAACAGTTAAAAAGCACATTTTATTCTCTTTCATGTCACTGCTTATCAAACACACTACCACTCCCAGCACCCACATGAGGTTCTATTGATCAATCTGTTTTTCTTTACCAACAGGAAGGACAATCAAAACCTTGGTTTACTGACAGCCATTTCAAGAACTAATTCACATCATTAGTTGCTGCCCTTGATCTATCACAGAAAGTGTAAAGGGAACAGGTATCAAAAAAGTTTCAACAGGCAAAAGATAAAGGTATCAGTTCAATGTGATTAAACTGTACTTTTACCAGGCAAACCCCACATTTTTACAACACATTTAACTTTAAAGAACTTCCATTTTTATATGGATTTCACAGTGGCACAAAGGCAATTACTAATTAGTCATTACACAGTTAAGATATGGTTATTACAAACATTACAGACCATTTCAAGTAAAAAGCCTCCCAAGCAATTCCAACATGCATGTGTGTGCCAAAACTAAAACAAATGAACTGGTCACAAATACATCAAAGGCACTGGGGGTGAAGGGAAGGGGGTTAAAGCCAATGGATCCCACAGAAGTAATTGTGGCATATTACTCACGTTTTCCACGCTTCTTAGGTACAGCCTGTAATTTGTGATGTACACTCTTCCTTTAACAGGGCCATTAAATGGACACATATAAATAACCTCCTTGTCTGTAAGAAATGCAGCATTTCTTAGAGATTACAAAAAGAAAAAAAATCAGAGCTAAGGACAGCATCAGTTAAGTACCAGTAAAATAAAGAGAGAGCTGTATCTTTTTCTGAGATTAATTTAGAAAGTAGTAAGTCTGAATTTAGGCACTTGAATTAAGAAAATGTGAAAGTTCCATATATTACACTTGCCCAAATTAAATCAGCATATTTCAGCTGCCTTCCCTAGTTATGTTTGTGTTCTCCTTCTCAGCACTATGTGGGAGAGGGCAGGACATAGAATGAGTCGATTTAAGTCTTTAGTGATTACTAAACCAGTCTATTCACTGTCACAGAACAAATACATTCTTCTTTTGATACTACTACATCTTTCAGTGCTCTGTAACCAAATCTGCATTGAAGTAGTAGTTGCAGCTGTAAAGTGTTTAGGGAACTCACCATCCTGAAGAGAAACATTACACTTCAATTTGAGGCAATCAAATACAGCAGAGCCATCAGCACTGTTTCAGCAAGGGCAGTACCAAAATCAGTATTAACACATACTATTCAAAGAAGGAAGATTTAACTGAAGCAATGCCATTAAAGACTTAAGTAAAGCACTACAAACCACCTATTTCTCCCTGTCCACTCATCTCTTTAGCCCAGTCTATTTATCTGCCTTCCACAACAAGCATGCTCTTTCCAGCGTGTTGCCCCAAAGCACAATTTTCATAAGGTTCATATCAAACATTCATCTTAGTCCCACACCCTCTCCCTTGTGCCTTCCCCACAACTTTCCTCATAAAAAAACATAACTACTTTCCTCCGAATCACCACTCTTGTTTCGCCTCAGCCAATCTTGTTTACAAACCCACCTGACAAATTCTTGGGCAGGGGGGAAGGAGAAGCTTCATAAATTAAACAGACCACTTCCACTGTATTCTGATACCTCAACACAAATTTCCATGAGTGGAAGACTCCATCTCAGGAAGACCCTCCATCATGTAGGAAACCACTGTACACAAACTTCCTTACGCTACAACATTACTGCATGTAAAGGCTAACAAGTGCATAGTAACTACATGCATGCCATGTTATGTCAAGGAACCATAAGGCTGTACTTAGGGTAGTCAGTTTGGGCTAAGGTTCCACACTATACAAGACGCTGATACATAGTAGGTGGTATGTAGAATTCTCTTGACTTTGAAAGCTTGGAGTGGCTCTCACTACTAGACACGTGCTACTTAGTCTCTACAGTTATGACACATCTTGACTTGCCATTTCTTTGTATCAGAGGATCTACCATGTGTGCAAAGATTTCAAAGACTTAAAAAGTTATTTGTGATTACTAATAAAACGTCCCTACTGCAATTAACTAAAAAAAAATGCATGCCATTTTAGCAAGGCTTACACCCACACCCAGCCCAAAGCAGTCCAAATTATGAAACAATCCAGTAAGATGCATGTATATGCCAGACTCCTGAACACACTCTGCACTAGGCAGCTACATAGCTTCATACCTGTAACTCTAGTCTCTCCTGGCAGACGAGGTATTTCTTCATTTTGTTCCCAGTTAGTTCCATCTTTTAGAGTCTAAAGAAAGAGAAATACAACAGCACATTGTATTTATTTACAATTCCTTCAAGTTCCAGATTTAAAAACAACAACAACCACCAAAAAATATCTTAAAGGTAATTTCCACATGGGAAAATGTTTTTCCACAGTAGAAACTGATGGACAGAATCATACCAGGAACACTACCCTAAACTGCAACTATTAAATATTTAATATTAAATATTCATATTAAATATGAACAGATCTGAAACATAAGCATGTTGTAGTCTTTCTCCTTTTAAAAGAATAGTTAATTGTATTTACATTAAATTGGAATTAAATTTCTATACTGAAAGTTCTCTGAAAGCTCTGTGCAAGTACACTGGGCTTGGAAGAACAAATAAACTTAAGCATCACTTAAGCAGCATATTCACAACCATTACACACAATCTATTCACTTGTGACTTTCCCACATTCAGTAGTTTTTAAGAATGATTAATAGGAAAATAATCTTTATTTTTGAAGCAATGTTTAAAAAGCTTAATAAAACCTTCATTTCTGTTCTCTTGCACACAGGCTACATTTTCTTCAGCCACACAGCATCAAAAGCAGAAGGAAATGCAACTTAGAATGCTTTAATGTATTTTCCACTACAGATGGACATGATAATGGCAAGCCAACCAAACATAACTAGGTGTATCTTACAAACTGCAGTACAGAGTCTTTCTACAGCATCAAGGTACCAAAAAACTTTCAAGAATGCCACAGAATATTTCAGTGTAGAAAGCGATGATAAGAGTAAATTAGAATTGATTTTAAGGAGGTGCTCATAATTTGTGATTCAGAGTATTTCATGCACCCACTATGAAAAGTTTTTAGGCAACTCAGTTAACTGCTTTAGAATGTTTACATACATACATTCAAGAAAGTAGTAATTCAAATACTCATTTTGCTACCCAAATATGGAAGATAATGATCTCTGTGACCTTTGACATAAAACACATAAAAAAAGCTCCACTCACCCTTTTACTTGAGGAACTCTCCAAGGAGTTTGAATTATATTTAGGTGTTGATGACGAGGCCATAATGGGTATCTGATGAGAAAGCACAAATCGGAGACTTAAACTTCCACCTGGACTACGCTCCATTTACAGGAGAGATTTTAGACCTTGAAGGTCCACAGGTAGACATCAAGAACTTTCAGGAACATTTTGCACATTGCTCTTGATATTAAAAATTACACAATGCCTTGTAATTGAAGGTCACTGTTAAAAACCATCCAAATCTACCAAGAAATCCATTACTAGCTCTGCGACTGGTTCTTACTATAAGGACTATTCCAACTCAAGCAGTATTTTTGAATTCTGTTGTTTGAATACTATTATTAGTTCAGTCAAGAGACATTAGTGTTTTAAGCAACAGAATACACATACTATGAAACACATCCTACTTGGAGTATTTGTACTAAGACTTCTCATTTAGGAAAACAGGAACAAACTGTAAAAGTATGGCTCAGCTCTTGAAATCACAAGCACATCAGCACACAGAAGGAAAAATGTTCCACAGTACTTTTACATTTAAAAACAGACCCCCATTTCCTAAACTGGAACTATAGTTAGCACACCAGAAGGGGGAGCGTCCAGCCTCCTCGTCTGAATAGCCTTGAGATTTCCTTCCTATAAAAAGGATTTTATTTTCTATTTTAAATGGTATTGATTAAAGGCAGAATCACATAATAGAAGATTCATCATCTCAATAATTTCCCCATATTGTGCGGGGGATCGCTAGAACAAACACTGTGAAAACACTCATTTTTGAAGTTACTCCAAACAGTAACTTTGTAGCACATTTTACTTCCCTTTCACTAGTTACACACCCTTCGTCAAGCCACTGTGACATCGTACAGCAATCTTGAGTTCTTACTGTTTGTTTGAGGGTGGAGACAGAGGTGATTACAGACCACTCCGTCTTTGTATTCCACGAATGAAACATCGAAGCCTTAAATAAGCACTTTCTCTCCCCTCTCAACACTAGTAAGTTTGCACCAAGCTCTCTGCACCATGACAAATCAGCCCGTGTTCCTGCATAACAGTGGGCTTGCAGTGACACTGCAACAGTCACACAGAAGCAACAGCAACACATTAAACTGTCAACTAAAAATGCTTTGAAGCAACTATAACAATACAGGAGTGTGTCTGTGTGAAGAAGGTGGAAAACCACGACCTGAGTTTTGATGAGAAAGCTTATAAGACTAAGAGTTTTTCCTTCCTTGAAGCTTCTCGTACACTATTAAGCTTAAGACAGCTTTAACTTTTTTTACATTGCTATGTTAACTTGCAAACATCCAATATTTGTTCAAATTACTTTCCTTAATTCATAGAAGTTTCCTAACAATGAGAGATTTATAAAGGTTAAAAGCATATTTACTGAGAAGCTCATTTTAAAATGTTTTCCATATGTATTTTGTTCATATTTTAAGTGAGAAATACCAGATGAGACAGAGAGAAAGACATAGCAGCCCCAGTTTTTCTACATCAGCATAGAAAGTGGTTTTAATTTGAGCTCACATAAATTTAAAGTTGCACCGACCAAGGGAGACATGTGAGCATAAACAAGCCTAGAAAAGTGACTTTAAAAAGATGCGGCAACCCTAAATAGAACTGCATTGCAAAACAGAAACGTTGAATGCACAGTAGGTACAGGCACACTCTAGGTGTTGTTCTTGCAACTGCAGCTACTCCATCAGCAAAGCCACAGAGAGACAAGCTGCAGCAGAGGTCACACGAGCCCACAGGGATTCTGGGTGCTCACCTTATGCCAACCCACTGCCTAAACTCAGCAGGACAAAAGCTCACTTAGAAATTCCTTACACCTCTCAACACTACTTCCAAACACAGCGTACTTTTCCTGCTCACACAGGGAATGGCATGAAGTGTTTTAGAAGTTCTCCGTTTCCTCCTTTGCTTTCGACATTATTTCCTCCCTTACCACACATCCACTAAGTTTTGGCTGAATTGTAGCACATGAAGCAAGTTACGATTCTGAAACAATCATCTGACTCCTGACTACAACTGACTGACTAGAACTTTTTCCAACCTCGTAAGTAGAGATCCTTTCAGAAGCTCAGAAAAATGTCTCTTTGTAGAACCTGACAGCACAGCAGGAAAGTGCTCACCTCCTCTCCACACTGTCACCCCACTAGGCAATTTCAAACATCAAGATGCCTGTGCAGCTCTTGCAGCAGACCCTCGTGTGCGTGTTTCTGTGTATGGAAATTTACTTTGTGTAACATTCTCCCAACTCCCCATGAGGCTGATTTCTTTAAACGTACTTTACAGTGAGAATGAATTTACTCATCTACTTCTATTTCTATAGAGTATTTCGCTGAAGAATTACAACCACCTACTCTTTCATTTCCAACACTTTAATGATGCAAATCAGGCTTATTTAGAGCTAATTAAGTTGAATAAATATGTATTGAAGGTGTTATCTGACAGACAGTTTTCCTTTAAATCCATAAAACATTTTCACTAAAATTAATGTCAATCCCTTTATCACTATATAAGTGATTTTTGGTTTTTTTAGTGCTACCTCCATTTTCTTTGAATTCAAATCACACTTGAAAAACCCAAATACAAATAAGCACATTTATAACTACCCAAATTTCCCTGATTTCTTTAAGTAAACTATGGTCCAGTAATTAAACTTTGCATCATAGAACACCCATTAGACACCAAGACACCTCACTGCACTGTGAGGCAGTCAGGCAGTGAAAACAGGGCCCAGGGAGGTTGCAGACTGCATCCTCAGAGTTTTTTTAAGACCCAATAAAGCTTTGAGCAAGGAGAGACCTCCTGAAGTCTCACACTACCTGAATTACTCTATTATTTCTATGATCTTCAGGCAACAGACAAAATCAAATTCTCATTTAAAAGTACCAATCAAACAAGGACACACCCTTAAAGAAGTGGACTCCTCTGTATCAAAAGAGCAAAAAAGTTTTCAAAAACATTTCAAATTAACATGAAATAGTTCCTTTTATAATACTTCTTTTTCTGTCAAACTGTAGAAGCAGCTTCTGGCAACCTCCCAAAGTAATATTGCCATGAACAATTCAAAACCATACTCCATCATAGTCTTAAAATAGCTATAACTTTCTCATTATCACAGAGTCGCAGCAGTCCTTCCACACAGGGAAAAATCTGGCAAGTAGTTTTCCACTGCAAATGCTTTATTCCCCAGCATCACCCATTATGTACTTCTATGCAAAAATTGAAAACTATGCAAACCTCATGCTTGTCAGCAGCTGAACAGAAGTACAATTACTCTGCAAATTTAAAACAAATCAGACAACTTTGTCTATGATATTCTGAAGCTACAAAAAGTGAGCATTCTTCTCCGAATCCAGAATGCAAGGAGACAAAGCAATTTCACTGAATTTAACTTGAACTAATAAACAAAGCTTTGTTAAAGTTACCAGGGCTTAATATAGTAACACTACCAAGAAATGTAGGCTCCAATGATCTTACAATAACAATTAAACTATTTGGGATCTGTATTTTCATTAAATATTATATTCATACTTGTGTTTCCTAGTATTCATGGGAACGGAGACACAATCACATTTGAAAGGGTAGGCACTGAAGGCCAGATTTTAAGAAGTCAGTTCAAGGATCCAACCTGCTCTTTGTGAATAACACAAGCACATACCCACCCAGAAAATCTAAACAAACTTCAAAACATGTAAATAAGCTTTTGAGGGTTAAGAAACCTGAAGTGACAGGCTACTCTTAAGGTTCTTCACTGCCAACAGATTAGAGGACGTGTGCAGTGCAGCTTGGAAAGACCACCAAGACTCTTATAAGCCATGTTTAGACTGACAACAGCCTGGCGAAACTAATTCTCATTGTTTATGATCCAGGAACAAATAAAAGCTAATTTGACATTCTGCTGGTCCTTCACACCAGAATCACACCAAATAATTTGTAACTATTGTACAACTAAGCCATGCTTGTGTCAACCTAAAATCTTTACATATATAAAGAACTAGTTTGTTCCCAAACACAACATAATCTGCATCTGCCAAAGGATTACTACCACAAACATCTGAAATCAAGTAAACAGCATCAAGTAAATTGTGAGCACCACTTTCCAGATATTTAATATTATTGACCATCCATCACTGGATTAAAACTTTGGACAAATCCACTTTCAAATTTGTACCTGTATCAAATTTGTACATTTAGAGCAACAACAATTTTGACAATACTTAACCTAAAAGAAAGTTTTAAACTTTCTGTAGTCAACAATGTTCACTGTTAATCTGGAAAGACTGAGGAAATTAAATTACCACACATAGAAGACACAATATACTAAGAGGTAAATACGATGAAAAAACATTATAGTTGAAACAGTTATTGTGTTGGAATGTAAACATAGCTAAACAAATATAAGGGAAACTGGATGCTTTTACCAGTATCGGATTTATCAATACAGTAAAAATGAGCAACAAGAAGTTAGACAGAACATTTTCTAGAAGCATTCCAATTTCTGTCACACATCAATAACCATGACACAAGATAAAGCCAAACTTCTAATAAACCTGCTCCAGATAACAATTTGTGCAAGAATGAAAAAAGTCTGTGCATCTCCAAGGCCTCTTCTAAAAATACAGGTACAACATTTACTAAGCCCCTTCATTTGCTGTCATAGTAATTCAGAACACAATTAGAAGACTTCCAAAAAGAGTTACTTACAACTGAGCAATTATATAAAACTTGAAAGTGACGAGTGCTCTGGCTTAATCATTTAAAATCTGCAAGGCATCTGCCAGTCTAAATTAAAAATGAAGTTATTTTCATAGTTAGACCTGATGCCAAATAAGGAATTATTTCAAAGGGAAAAAAAATCAGTATTAGTAAACAACTGTTTGCTCTGCTTGAAAGCTAAGTGTAGGTCAGTGTAGGGACGTAGAAAAAGCTTCTTGCACCTTCATTTAAACAGAAGACACAAAAAAAGAGACATCAGGTTTCTAATGACAAGGTATACTGGTGTTACACAAAGATTGTAGGGTTTTATTTGGTACAGTA